TGTTATCGTGTATTGATGAATGTGGGGGGTACCCCAATTTTTTATTGTTATTTCGTCGCGGATAATGATATATCAATGGTACGCCGTTATTATCTTGTATATAACCATTATAGTCGAGATACAGAAATGCTTCAGTCGGGATGAAGCCGGTGCATAATGCTTTTTCGTGATACATCGGATTAGGGTACAACGCACAGTGTATTTGACTATTTTCGGTAATTCTACTCACTTGGCGAAAATGTTCACGAATTAGTTTGATAATGAAATTGTCTATCCTAGGTATGCCTGCCTCGTTATATATTTTTGCGTTGTTTATGTATTTTGTGTAATCTGATTCTGCCGATCTGTTCCTGTTAAGACAGGCTCTCAGGCATTTTCTTTCGAAAATTCGAATTTTCTCCATAAGCGACGCATTGATGTTATACCATATGGGACATCCATATGTTATTAAGGGTCTTATTAGTAGTTGGTAACAGATTATTTTTATTTTTGTATGTAATATTTTTGAATAAAATAGTTTACGCAAGTGTCCAAATGCCTTATTAGCCTTGAGGATCTGTGTGTCAATGTGTATTTTATAATGTAGTCTATCGTCTATATTTATTCCCAAGTATTTGACAAACTTCTTGTGTGGAATGTTTTGTGCAATGTTATCTTTGGGAGAACCTTTTATTTGGAAAATTTTGTAATTTTTTTTTACGTTGCTGTTGGCATAAATTAAGTTAGATCTGAATAATATTGTTTCGCATTTGTTTATGTTAATGTGCAATTTCCATGTTTTGTAGTAATGTTCAAGTTTGTTAAAAGTATCCTGTAATGTTTGTTGTATTTTCGTGGGCCAGCTGTTCGCCGAGTAGACAATTAAATCGTCGGCGAAGGCTATTGCCTGGGGATTTCCCGGTGTGTTTAATTTGAAGATTTTTAATATTTCTGCCGTGTATATGTTGAACAATATTGGTGAGTTTACAGTTCCTTGTTGTAAGCCGTTGTGAATTTTAAAAGTCCGTGTGGAGTAATTCTCACCACTAGTGACTAGCAATGATCTGTCAGTAATCATGCTCCATATTATTTTTATTAGATGAATAGGAAATTTGTATTTTTTTATTAATTTATATAATAGGCCTTTATGCCATATTGTATCAAATGCTTTTTCTAAATCTATTAAACACGCACCTAGACAGTTATTACTATTTAAGGCCCAATTTATGTCGGAAGTTAGTTTGTTGATTGCATGTATAGTGGAGTGTCTGAATCGGAAGCCAAATTGTGACTCTGGGATGCAGTTAACAGCTGTGCAATGATTTATTATCTGATCGTTTATTATTGTTTCATATATTTTGCTGATATTGGGGAGCAGGCTTATAGGTCTGTAACTTACAGGTAAAGATTTGTCTTTTTCCTTTTTTAATATTGCGATTACTTTGGCTGTTTTCCATTTATCCGGAAAAATTGAGTAATTTAATAAATTGTTGAAGATTATTGTGTAATTATGAATTAATATTGGCGGTATATTTTTAAGTACTATATTGGGGATATTATCCAGATTATAAGACCTCTTGTTGTTTAAATTTTTGAACCTTCTAGTTAAATCTCTTGTATTTGTGAAGCAATTTTCGTTGTTTTCCGGGGATGTTGGGTCATCAGCTGTATTGTTGTTGTTAAATATACATAATGTTGAGTTATTGAATTTTTCGCTTTCAAATTGTTCGATAAATGCGTTAGTTGTTTTGTCAATTAATTTGTTGAATTGTGGCCTGTCGTTATCATATGTTTTATTGTTAATACTTGCGAAATGAGCAGCCATGATATTTAGCTTGTCCGATAGAGTATTGATTAGGATGTTATTGTTGCCGTCTATTTCATGATGTATGGGATTGATGTTGGCTTCGTTTAGTATAGGAGAGTTTAATGGGATTTTTAGGGTGTTTATTTCGGCTATGTCTTTCTTTCTGAAGATTCTGTTTAACTGTGG